AGGAAGTCCAGGAAGGTCTCAGTAGATAACATCAGCAAATATTTTGAGTTTCTTCCTGGTTGCATTTTCAGTTCTTTGCAATCACAAAAAAAGAAAAAGAGACATTTTCCTCATCCCTCCCACTTTTCCTGGTCAAGCCCCCCAGTTTTCAAAATCTAACCAGTTTTATACTGGACTGAAAAACATGCCTGAAACTTAACGCCCTTCACAATTAAACAATAGGTTAAACCAAAACTACAATTCAAACAGAGAAATGGAAAGAAAAATATATATCTAATTTACAAACTCACCTCAAAAGATTACTTTAAAGAGAATAACTAATAATATACCAATTTTTATCATTGTTCTTATTATATTAAATAATCCACTGCAAAAACGATCCAGAAATAATTAAAAATGTCTTAAATTTCACCCTTAATTTGAGTAGGTAAATAAACCGATTTTCCACTGGAATTAGTATTTTTAATCTGAAAAAAAAGATATTCAGATTATATGCACTTGAAATAAGAATGCAATAGTTTTTTATATTATTTTAAATATAAATTGTCTTGTAAAAAAAAAAAAAAAAATCCTTAAAAAAAATGTATTAGATTAGATTTAATTTGAAGGGTTATTAGTAAACTTTTATTTACACAACAGATGTTGACAGCAAACCCTGCTTTATTTATAAAATCAGAGGATGGATAACTTTCTGACCTTCTTTATTTAGATTATGCCAAGATTGTGGTTCTTGCTACCCCCCAAGTGGTGAGCTGTATTGATTCTCATTATCAAGGCAGATCTAACCTCAGAAATCTTGGTGTTGCTTCGGATCAAACGTTATACCTTGATGATGATAGTAACACAGAGAATCGTTCTTCATTGGAATATTGTCCAACTCAGATCTGTAATATGACATATGTAATATTCACTGCATCTTGAACAGTTTTGCAATTTTCGCTTTGCTTTTCTTAAAATGATCAATTATAAAGTTCTTATAACATACAAAACCCTGCTTGGTCTGTGACCATTTTGCATGCAGGCTTATCAAGATTTACCAGCTGTCTGCTTAAAAAGACTGAGAGCTAAAGGTACAGCATTTAATGGATCTCGGTCTCATTATTAAGTGATGGCAGAATGGAATAATTAGGACATCTAATCTTAAATGCTAGAAATCTGTAAAGCCAAATTTCCAATTTTGCTTTGTTTGGGCATAATCAGAATTTTGGTGTGGTTGACTATATGGCAAATATAATTAAATTGGAGCAAGAGCAGCAAATTTTCTAGCTTATTTTTATTTGTTTCTGTAGAGTTGCATGATTCGGCCTTAAAGATGGGAAACCATTGCATGACTTTTTATGCATAGCCCTTTGTAACATAAAATTAAATCTTGGATGACCTGCTTGGACAGATCGAATCAATTCTGCCTTGTGTCAGTTTATATATAAAGTATATAGGTTCTTGGCAAAATTGCCTAAAATCTGTTAAAGATTTTTAAGTGTTCTCAGTTTTTATTATTATTATTTGAAACTAGTTGCTTTATATCTCAGTATTAAGTCTACATCCCTATTTTTAACACAATGTGAACTCCAAAACACAGGTGTATGGCTCTCATGCATAACAGAGCCTTTTTCCTCTCTGTTTGGGAGTGAGACTCATAGCAGTGACTCGTATACCGTAAGCTCATGAGTCTGTGTTAATTTTCTGACCTTGTGTGTGTGTGTGTGTAACTAGGGGTGAATTCATCCACTCCACACACCCCGTCATGAACAGAGGGCGGGGGCACGATGTTTGCCTAAAGGTGCTGTAATGGTTTTCAGCACCACCAGGCTACTCATCAAACCCAGGGCGTGTCAGAGAGCGTGTAAGACGGCTATATTTAGAAACGTGGTTGGCCGGTAAACACTGAGTAATGCAGGGATGTGTCATATTAAAATCCAATGACTTTATCATCTAAACATAATCCAAATAGTCACAGATTATTGCAGCATACAGCTCTCTATACACTCTCAATCACTCTAAGAATCTAAACCTCAGCTTTTGTTGGGTCCAAAATTACATACCGGTATTAAAATGGATAATGGCTGTTGTGATAATTCAGTTGTTATCCAAATACTGCAAACATCACTCTTTGAGAGGTATTTTCTCCTTTTTTTTTCTTTAAACAGCTTTTCGTGTGCAAACCAACATCAAAAATCTTAATTGATGCCGATAGCAGGAACATTATCATACACGCACTCAAAGTGACACAGTTATAACCACCTTTGGTCCCTCTTAAAAAATACAACGTCCTTTTATTGTGCCATTTCTTCTTACCGTCAACATTCGTTATAGTTTCCTTTTATACTCTGCAAACACATTAACTCTCTTTCTGTACTTTTAACCTGGTCCCTATACTAAATTGTAAAAAGGGAGGCAAGAATGGGAGATTTATTAGAAACTATAATGGCAAAAAAACATTATTGGAAAGAGAATTCAGTAAGTACAGTACTTGCCAAAATATGCTGTTAAATAAACAGATTGGCACTGCATCAAAGCTACCCTTTGTGATGTTTTCTTTAGAGTGTGAGAGTGAATTAAGTTTTTTGGACCCTGTTGCAGATGGTTGACTTCTGAAGAAACCTGTCTCTGCAGGAGCGGCTCACTAAGCTTCCTCTGTACATTCCTGAAAGTAAACATTCTTAGACGAATAGAGAGCAATTTTAATGCATCGTAATTCCTGTATTTTCAGTACAGTCAGTGCCTGAGCACATAAAAAGACCTTGCCTATAAATAAAGTATTGAACATTATGAAGGTGTAGACTCACCCGTCTCTTTATTGGGTACACCTGTGCAACTGGTTGCTTATGCAAATTTCTAATCAGCGAATCACATGGCAGCAACTCAGTGCATTTAGTTATGCACGCATGTTGAAGACGATCTGCTGCAGTTAATGCCAAGCATAAAAATGGGGAGAAAAGGGGTTTTAAGTGACTTTGAACTTGACTTGGTTGTTGGTGCCACACAGGCTGTTTGGAGTGTTTCAGAAACTGCTGATTTACTGGGATATTCCATCATAACCATCTCTAGTGTCTACTGGAAATGGTTCTGAAAAAGAGAAAATATCCAGTGCTTTGCAGTTCTGTGGTAACAAATACATTGTTGATGCCAGAATTCAGGGTAGGATGGCCAGACCGGTTCAATTGATAGAAAGGCATCAGTTGCTCTTCTACAACCGAGGTATGTAGAAGAGCAAATCTGAATAAACAACATGTCAGACTGTCAGGCAGATGAGCTACAGCATAACACATTCCTGCCAACTAACAGGAAACTGAGGCTACATTTGGCACAGGCTCAACTCCATTGAACAATAGAAGTTTTGAAAAGTCTCAACTTGAAGCGACATTTGGATGGTAGGGTCAGAATTTCCCCTTTAGCCTTAAATTATGTTCTAGTTACATGTAGCCCCTGTTTTCCCTGGTTACTCTTTGTACCCCTTAGTGCCCCTTTTATTTCCCCTTAGCTCCCTTCTAGCTGCTGCTGTCCACACCTGCTCCCAATTAACTGATCACTCCATTCCTTGTTCTGCCTCCATGTACTCCTGCTCTGCAGTTCCTCGGTGCTGGATTCTCTTCATTTCTTCATGTATATTTCTCCAGAGCTTCTTTTTGGTTCCTGAGTTCCCAGCCTGTTATTTCTGGATTGATGATTTTGTACCATCTACTTCACCATTAAAAATGTCAAAAATGATCTCTGCCTCCTCTGCTCTGCATTTGTAACAACATCCACCAGCCCTAACAGATATAGAGATGCGTTAGTTACAAATAAAGCAGATCTGAGAGCTGGCTCGAAATATGAAGCTTCTACAGAACATTGCAATTTTGACACATAACGGTTCATTTTGTGTGAAATTACTGAGGTGGAGAACAAGGTTTCTGAAGTAGGAAGAAATCTTAAGAGCTTTGGGAGCCAAAAGGAAAAAAGTTCTCATCTGTAATTTCTTACTAAAGAGCAAAGTGTTGCATTCCTTATTTTCTTGAAGAGAAAAGGTTTTATGGGGATTGCAATACATGTTTACACCTTTATAGAAAAAAGGCTGTTCTGAAAAATGAATCAGAGCTTAGGAACAAAAATATAAAGGTGTATGAAAGAGGAATGAAGGAAAGGAGGGTAAAAAAAAGAGCGTAACCAGGGGTGGAGCCAGATGAAGTCCAGGGGTGGTCATGACCTCCATTATTTGAATGTCAGCAGACAGCAAGAAGCCTCCCAGATCTCCAGATGCATTTGAGATATCAAAAAAGTACTCCAGAGTGTTGTGTAGCATGGGGGTGAGTAGAAAATGAAGGCTAATCATGTTTTGGGTGTACTATTCCTTTAATGAAATAGCATCACCGGGAACCCCTCGGGCACGTAAGAGTCCCCTAATTCCGTCATTTTTAAACCAATGTGTCACTGGCCCTCTCAAACAACTCACATCTTTGTCAGTGAAGCTGAGTGCTCCCACATCTCCTCATTCATAGTACCCCTCTACATTAAGGTCCAAAATTCTGTGAATAAAGTCAGAATTCTGAGATTAAAATCAGAATTCTGAGATTAAAGTCAGAATTCTGAGATTAAAATCAGATTTCTGAGAATAAAGTCAGAAATCTGAGATTAAAGTCAGAATTCTGAGATTAAAATCAGATTTCTGAGAATAAAGTCAGAAATCTGAGATTAAAGTCAGAATTCTGAGAAAAAATTTCAAAATTCTGAGAAAAAAGGCAGAGTTCTGAGATTAAAGTCATAATTCACACTTTTTTCCCACATTAAACTGAAATAATATTTAAAAATCAGTTAACTTTTTTTCTTCTTCAGTGGCCCCAATCCTCTTCCGTACAGGAAGGATTTTGCAAAAGTAATAATAATAAAAAATTGTTTGATTATTGCACCTCCGATGCCAACAACAAGAGGAGTAGCCGAGGAGCAGTGCATGGATTAGAGAGAGGGAGGCAGGAAAAAAAAGGGGAGGAAAGCACAAAAGAAAGCTGGAAACGGGGGGATAAGCACACAGAGGAGGGGAGAGAAAGAGTGAAGTGACATCACATCTCAAAGCTCCTCTCTCCTCTCCTTTGAGCGCACCTTTGCTCCACTTCTCGCCGAGGAGGCGCGCGCACAGTTCGCCTTTATCCTCCTCCGTCGCTCGTGAAAAAAAGGGGGCAGGACTGAAGGAAAGCAGAAAAGCCTGGGAAAACTGAAACCATGAACAACACTTTCCTAAACATGGCGTCTATAGGGGACTTCGACCCGCTGAACCTTTCTATCCCCGCCACCAAAGTTGAAATCACGGTGTCATGCAGGTAGGTGGATCGGTGTCTATTTGGACATTATTTCCTCCGACAGGCTGAGAAAACAAAAACGCGCAGCTTTACAGCTAAAGGGAAGTTTGTTTTGAACTCGACTGTCAGATTTAATTCTTGCTCATTAAAACTAACATGATAATACTTTGATAAACGTTGGGAAATGAAGGAACACCCCCAAAAGTGAGGCGCTCCTCTCCATGGAAACGACCGTGCGCTACTTTACTTTTTCACGCTGGCTTGTTTGTAAATAAGCCTTGTAACATCATGATAACGGAATAAACCTAGAAAAAAACAAACAAACAAATGAAAAATATCTCAGGTTTCTACTTGTCGCATCTCTTAAATAAAAAGTAGAAAAAAATAGAAATAAAGAGTTGTTTAAAATGACGTCCTGCACACTTTTTGAGACGTTTGCAAACGTCAAACCACAAGTGGACGTAAAAAAAAAACGTGGTTTGACCCAGTTTAAAAAGGTTTTTTTTTCTTGATGTGGTCTGCTGGCTGTACGTGTTTTTATATAAAACCTCATTAGAGTGTCTGTTTTAAGTGAAGTATTCATTTTATTTATAAAAAAAATGTTAGAACTGTAAATATATAGTCATATGTTTATATTACTATTTTTTATGTATTTATTACTGTTTTCAAGGCTGCACTTAAAAAAGATGAATTTGTTTAGAGCTGTTTTAAACAAAATTTCTTTTTGTTTACTCTCAAGTATACAAAATGACAAAATAAATCCAAGTCTAAGGTTTAAGTAGGAGTGAGCTTTTATTTAGAAAATCCCGATTTGTTTTTCTAAGTGAAGTTGATTTTTCTGCATTCTGTGTGTGCAGATACAAAACTATGCATAAACAAAAGCAGTCTTTCAATGTGAATCACGTAGACTGTTGGTGGAAATGTTGTTTTAGAGTGGTAGATTTATACTTACATAAGAAAGAAAGAATAATCCTAATTGTGGTCACCAAATTATACTAAAAAAAGAAAACAGAGTTAACCATTTTTAACCCCTTCCTTACTAATGGAGTCCCCCCCTTCCCTCAGTGAGGTCTAGAGGCACTAGATCTATATCCAGGCATTTAGCAGAGATCCTGCCACATGACTGTACATCTTATTTTGGCAATTGTCCATTTAGATGAGCCCTTCAATGATATATTACCTACTGGAAATTAAGTTGAAAAGCAAAAGTTAACAATTCAAGAAAAAAAAAGGCAAAAAGCTAATTGAAAAGTTAAAAAGTAAAGTAAATAAGCCAAGTTAGCAATTAAATTTAGGTATATAAACTAAAAAAAATTAAGTGCTAGTATCAGCATTAATGCTTCGAAGGTTATGTTGGACCCCAAAAAAATGTGTTCCTTTCACTCTCAGAGTGTTTTTCATGAATTTCTTATAGAAGAACTTTTGTTATTTTTCTTAATATATTCAGGCAAGTTGGGGTTTCCTTTTATTACAATGACATTAAATTTTACCATCAAAATATCCATATTTTTATTATGTAACAAAGGTAATAAGATCTGATCCTGGATTCCAATAACACTATTGGCTGGAAATGTTGATTTTCAACAGTACCCTATAAAGGGTTAATGGATATCAGCATAATAATCTAAGGTTACCGGTGGGATATTGGACTTTTTTTTTTTCAAAGCACCTGTACAGTAATCACTTATGATAATTGAAAAGTTGGCATTTACTCAGATGTGTTTAGGGAAAAAAGGAGACATCAGTGTTTAGGATATAGGAAACATTTAGTAAATAGTAGGAAGAATGTCTATTTCCTAAACACATTTAGTGTTTATTTAGAATACAGTTAAGAATGTACCATTTATTAAATGACCCTTGACGTAAAACTTCCCAGAATGCACATTAACGTCTTATTTTTTTTCATATTTGTTCATCACAAAATCTACATTTCTTAGCTGTAAACTCGCAGCTCTGTCCTTTAAAAGCTTGAATAGGTGCTGGAAGCTAAAACAAAAAAAAGATAGACTGATGTAAAACTGAAAGTCAGCTTAGTATCATATTCTCACAGTAGGGTGACCTTGTGTAAAAACATACGGTCGTTCAAAGTATTTAGAGAGAAATTTAAACCGTGATCTGATTCCTTTTTTAAACTAAACAATTCTTTCTACTGCAATCAAAGTAAAAGTAATATGATAGCATATATGATTAAAGGTTGTTAATGACACGGTTGAGAAGAAAAAATCTATTAAAAAAATACATTCTAATTGCATATTCCCAGCTAATATTTTGGATAAAAATCATTTGATTCTTCTTTAAAAGTGTTTTATAATCATCCATCATTTGGAGAGTTTGAACTTTCGATTCCAGAACTATGGTTATCTTCCATATATTTTTGTCACTGTGGATGTAGCCCTGTTCGTTCTCAGCTTTTATACAGAAAACTAAACGTATTGTGTCTAAATTGAATGTTTTGTGCGAATGAAAGCTACCCCATTCCGCATTACAGAGAGGGTACCGAGTACCTTTGGTGGTGTGTTGCGTTTGTTGTCATTCTTTCATGTTGTGTAACGTTCTCCTGACTGATGCATGTATCCATGAAACTATGGCTTTAAATATGTATAATGCAAACAACAAAAAACTTCTATATGGATAATTAAAACCTTATTTTTGGCCACTCATAGATTTGTTTATATAAGATGTGTATTCAAGACGACCGCATGTTGAAACTCCATAGAAAGATGAATTAATCAAGTGTTGTTTTTATGGCATGCCTGTTTTTTTTCCTTACAGATTTGTTTGCTTTTTAGCAAGTTTGTGCAGGATGCATGTCTGATAAATGCTATAAAAGTTCCTCTCAATTATTGATATCAGAGAAACTTATCATTTTATTAAGTATTTATGATTCAGTAAAGTCTATACAATTAATGCATTAGATTACCTGGTTATAATAAAGTACTGGAATTTTTACATTGTGTTTTATACAAGTTGCATACCGTGTGACATAACTAACAACTTACGAATCCCATTAGAGAAAAAAAATATTTATCGACATAACATGAGTCAGATCCATGTGAAAGCATTTCATTTACAGCAGGGATTGCAGAGCAAGCGTGTCATTATGAGCCCGTCAGTCAACCCTGTAACAGTGAAACACTGGAAATAATGATGGTAGCATGACATTTCTCTTGTCCATCTTTTTTTCGATGGGGGAGCGGGGTGAAAGCCATTCATTTAGCTTTTGGAGAAAAAAAAAAAGAACATTTGTTTCTCCACCTTGAGCCCATGGATACTGTAGCTACTGTATTCCTGCAGGATTTTTCTGCACCATCTCCTTAGTAACAGAGGGATTGAACCATCTTCTTGTAAAATATGTGAACAGGCTTTGTGGAGTTTGTTAATGCCTGAGTCACCCCGTTTGTCAGCCCTGACGGGGGAAGAAAGTGTTTCAGGTGCCTGGTCCTCCCACCTCCGACTTGAAGGAGGACATGGAATGTCATGGTTACGACCAGGTGCGAACTTGCACGTTTTTTTTTTTTTTTTTGTGAGCTAAAGGTTCCTTTTCTTTTACAAGTTGCGGGTTTTTGTGCATATTCTAGTTGTTGCGATTGGTCAGGGTGGGCTAAGTCGGGTATTGCCATGGTTTCCTTCTGTGCGTGTGGGGGGAGTGAGAACTTCTACATGGGAGGCAACACTTCATGAGAAAACAACATACTGTACATGACCAATCATTATATCAGGCTGTGATATTTGCGAGGCTGCATTGATGGTCTCTGATAACTGACTCATATAAAGGACCTGCTTTATGCATCAATTTCCCTTGCATAGTTTCACATTTTGTCAAACTATAGTTAATGACTGTAATTTATGCAAATATACATGGTTTTAATTATTCTGCACACATTAAAGCCAAATATATGAGTTTACTTACATATAATATGTATATTATCTTTGTATTTCAGACAGAGAAAATTGTTTTATTTTACAGAGTCTTTAAAAAAAGTCTAAAGGAGTCTAAAACCATCTAGCCCAGGCTTTGACCCTCATGTAGCTTATGACCACATCACCATGAAGCTTATAGGTTCCCACGCAGAAACTTCTATGTGCTTTGCTTCAGCAATGGTCACTGCATTTCATTGGTCATTTCTTAAACATTCTCAAACATTTCTAAATCGAGGCTAATGCATCTGTTCTATTCTCAGGAGTTTGTGAATTTACCATTCTTGCAACAATTCATCTTGCTTGCAAGTTAAGTAAACGCTAAATGTAGACGAGAAAAAAAGAGACATTTGGATGGACTGATGACAGTCAGTGTAAAACCATTGATGCATTGATTAGCTTCAAAAAAATAAATGCTAAAAAAATCTGCATTTGTTGTTGCTTGCATTAGTGTGTTAGTGTTAACAATGGTGAGGTCTATGTTGCCCCGTATGCGCAAATCACCATTTTGCTGCCGGTTATGCCAATAGGGTTATCATGCAGGACACACCAGTGGCTAATGGTAAAGTTGGAGTCTTTGTCTCTGGATTTCTCTTTACCTCATTTCCTGTCACCCCCCTTTCAAATAAAGGCTATTTGTGTTCAAAAAGCCACAAAGTGAATTTAAACTTCACACTCAAGGAGTATGGGTCAAATATAGTCGTTTTAGCTGCTACTTCTGTCCGGATGGAACCCCCTTTCTGACATAAATGCAAGGCGTTCTTGGGGCAGACTCGAACTGAAGGTCCACTCGACAAGGCTGTGCAAAAGTCAGATTTTACAACACTGTACGCTTACATGGTGTTGCACATTAAACTGCCCGTCGAGAAACAGTGGTCACATTGAACTGTTTTGCATGGGACACCAAGCAGATAGTTCGGGAATTGGAATTTTGAAAAAATTAAACAGTTTCCAACATACAAAATTTTGAAGAGCGCCTTGCGGATGAGCTCAAAAAACATTTAAACTTAAACAATGAGGGAATCTATTATTATAGATTTCCCTTTGAAATTCCCTGGTCTGGTTTAATGGACTTATGTACGAACTTCTTTCTTGTTTTTGTT